GTTGCCTTTGCCCCCCACCCAAGTCCGAGTTTCAAATATGTCCATCCTTCGGGTGGTGCGCATTGCACTCTTTGTGTATGCAAATACCCGTCCCCTCCTCCCTCCTGCCCCCTCCCCCTCCCCCCTGCCCAACATCCAATAGATGTTATTCTTAAATTTTTCACTTAACATTTAGTGAATATATTCCCATGCCATCATAATTCTACAACATAATTATATCTATATTTAGAGTAGTTCATCTTAGGAATATACCACACATTATTTAATCAGTTATGTAGTGGTATTTTTATTCTTTCCTAATTCTATTAAAGTTATTGTGTAAGGAAGTGTGGAAAATAGAATAAAAAAAGAATAAATAATACTAACATATTTGTTTATTGAGAGAAGAAAGTAAGCTGTCTGTTGCTACCAAGGAAAATGCCATAGGATAACAAGATAACCAGATATCAGTCTCAGCTTTGCAAATATTTAATAACTCTAAGTGTGGCCTGGAAGTCACTTAATCTCTACAATTCTTAGTGTAGTGTCCTTATTTACAAAAGGAATAGAAAATTTATTCAACAGTGTCCATTCCTAAAATCTATTATTGTATATTTTGCAAAAAAAGCTATTAGAAAATTTCATGTAGAGGATATGAGCAAGTATATGTAATGTAATAGAGTGTTGAAAATGGATAATAGATACATTTCCTCTTTGCTGTGTAGTCAAAAATTTCCCATCATGTGGCAATAATGGAATACATTATATGAAATGATTTGAAGATCTGACAGCTGGATGCAAAGGGGCCTCTTCCCACTGAAGGAGAACATCTATCAACGTTGCAAGGAGATTTGAGTTCAGCAAAACATAAGAAAAGGCTGTCTCACAATAGAATAGCTTCCTAGAAAAATTAGTGAGTTCTTAGACATGGAGAATGTTGTAGCATGGGCCAGATGGAGAACTATCAGGGATACTATAAAAGCTATTACTGCACTCAGTAGGAATTCAAACTGAATGGTCACCAAGGTCACTTTCAGTTTTAAAAAGCTGGAATTTTTCTTTATATAGGTGACACCTTCTCTTAGACTCTTGTCCTTAAGCATTGTTCCTGTTTCTGAGCTCTCTGCTGTCTCATTGGTCTCTTATCTGAAGAATCAATTCCACTAGAAAAAAATAAAACACCCTTATTAAGAGCATGAGTCCTTTAGCTTGTTTGTATGCATAGATGGGTACCTCTCTGAGCATCTAATGAAGAACAGGCGCTTTCACCGTCATTAAGAAACATCTCTTGAAACTCAATCTTCTCTATGAAGTCATTCCAAAAAAAACAGAAGCTTTTTGGAAAGCAGGTCTCCAGTTCACAATCAAACTTTAGAATTCGGCCTCAAGATTTCTTCATATCCTTTCCAGAGCATGAACTCGTGAAAGTCCCAATAGTGAAAAATAATACACCCATACACACATTTATTAATAGTAAAGTTTTTGAAGTTGATCTGATCTGAAGCTGAGAGTTCCTCATTTTCATACTTTGGGGTGCTGAGGGAGGAATTGTGCCTGGTGGGAGTTTCTTTCTTACAAGGTGAAGGAGACTCATAATTTTCCACATCGAGCTACTCCAATGTGTTTCCCCCCTACCGGCATAACTTTCTTTCTTCAGGCAAAGATTACCCGATGCGTGTCTGAAAGTGTCTGTTTCTGGAATTCCACTCACAGGAGAAAATTAGCCTACCTTAGATGGCTTGAAACAGTCCTCAAGGGTGAGGGAGGGAAGAGAGCAATGGGGCATAGGGACTGAAATCAGCTCTATGAACTTTCGGTCCTTAAATCTCAAAGAGTACAGAAAGTGAACGCAATATTTTATGAGAAACCACATATTGCCTGTACATCCTCACTTTCAACACGCACCCCCCGCCCTCCAAGCCACAGGCTACTGTATTGGCAAATGCCTCCTCTCCAGCCACCAGAGCAGGGAAGGGCTCCAGAGAGTCCCAGCGCACCGCAGACAGCTGGGGTCTCTGGCAGCCCTCAGCTGCAGCGGGCCAGTCTGCGAAATGACAGCGTGGAAGGTGTTGCGAGGAAATCCCCTGCATGCTTTGTGGCATGTTAAAAATGCAGCATCATCCTCTCTGCTCCTTTTCTTCGCCCAAAAGCAGAATTCGAGGGCGCAGGGAAACTGGAGGGGCAAGAAGGCTCCCTCCTGGAGCCCTGGAGTCCTCTCCCTCCACGCCCCCCGTCCTTCTTGGGCTCTGATCGCCCCTGCTCCAATGGGCCAGAAGCACCTTCCCCATTTCCTCTTCCATTCACTACGGCGGGGAGGGAAGAGGGAACACAAAACTCTAAAAATAACTGTCAGCATCTTAAAAAAGGAAAAGCTCAGCTGCCCCCCCCAACCTGCTCCCGCCCTTCTCTTCTCCCTCCCCCCTCCCCCCGTACGGGGCACATGTCTGCTTCTTACAACACCGAGGCACATGGTTCAGTTAGGCGCCGAACCCCACCAGGACCGAGAGGAAATTCACATCTGTGGGACGCTCCGCACGGAACCACCTCCAGCGCGAGAGGCCAGGGGACTGCAGCAGCGAGATGAAGGGCTAGACCGAGGGAACGCGGCTCATGCGGTGAGAGGCAGCGCGGGAGGCGGCGAGGGCGCGGGGAGGCCGAGGAGGGGGTGGGCCCCGCGACGCCCCCGCAGCACCCGCCGCCCGCCCCCGCGCGCGCTGTGGATATTTGCCCGCCTTGCTGCAACTTGCTGCAGTGTTTGAAAGAGTAGTAGGAGCGCATGGAGGTGGGGCCGGGGAAAGACCAGGCGGAGTGGTTGGGGGGTGAGCGCGGAG